CCCTGGACCGACCTATCCCCTCCCTAACTCCCCACCTCCACTCCCCTTTACTGGCTCCAACCTTGCCTCCTTGACGTGTCTGTCTCCTCTCCACCTATCTCCTCCTTCATCCATGTTCTATCTGCCTCCCCCTTTCTCCCTATTTATTTCAGAACCCCCTTCCCCTCCCCCATTTCTGATGAAGGGTCTAGACCCGAAACGTCAGCTTTCCTGCTCCTGTGATGCTGCTTGGCCTGCTGTGTTCATCCAGCTCTACACCTTGTTACCTCTGAAGCACAGTCTCACAGGAGAGGCACAATGAACAACCTGTCCCCAGGGTACCCCATATAAAATATCCATGAATGTTATGTCACTCAAACCTTGCAGGTTAGAGTAGGCTGCATCCATATCATTCTAAGTTTAGCTTATCACTGAAAAATAAAATGGGCAAGAAGAATTTTGTTAATGTTGGCTCCTCAACTTTTGTAATCGTTGTCAAGATCAGCGTTTTCCAGAGAGATGAACTATTGATTAAGAGGTGGTCATGTCCCTGCCTCTTGGCCAGAAGCTCTGGGTTCAAGTCCCACCTTGATTACCACGGAATGTGTGTTGAAGTGCAACCCAACAGGTTGATTACTAATCTGTAAAGCCATCAGATGTGGTTATTATAAGCAGTAAGAATGTTCAACCGTATCAAAACATGGAAAATAGAAGCTGGAGTAGGCCATTTGGCCCATTCGGCCTGCTCCGCCATTCAACCTGATCATGGCTGATCATCCAAGTCAGTACCTCATCACGTTAAAAGTCTCTCCACATGTTCTCGCCATAAGCAAGTGTTATCCCTGCTCTGAGGGACTGTCCCTCTCACACTCTCGCTCTCTCACTCGCTCTCTCGCTCTCTCGCTCTCTCGCTCTCTCATCTCTCTCTCCCCCTCCCACACACTCCCACACACACACACACACACACACACACACACACAGTTGTTAAATGTTTCTGCTCAGAAGAATTCTGAATATGGTTTGGATTTTTACTCAAACTATAATCAGTATTTATGATAAGATGAATTGTTGAAGCCCTGATTTGCAGATGTGAGATTCTGTCGAATGTAAGCAATGCCCAGCATGCGACCTAGTTTATAAAGTCCCTCAGTGAGTGCTGATCATGAGTTATTGGAACAGGTCACTTCATAGTTTTCATATCCAGTGGATTTCATCTCTTTGCTCAGATACAGTAAGTATTTTAATACATAATTTTTGGTCGAGAACCCTCCTGTGAATCAGTGTTTACCCTCATTCTCCTTAACTCTATTTATAGATGTACTAAAATGTTAATAAAATTCCAATGTATTTTCTGAAGGTAGAAGCTGCCTCTTCCATTAAACAATGATGCAGAATTGTAAAAGTCAGTCTCTCCATTGATTAAATTACTTTGTGATTGGGGTCATGCCTGAAGTCAGACAGGAATATTCACATTGTTCAAACTTGGCACAGTGTCACACATGCATAATTAAGACAGTAACAAATAATAAATAAGGTATATTTATGTGTCAAGAAGCACTTGTGCATAAAAGCACAAGTTAACACTTTCAGTATCAGGATGCTATGCTGAGGTTTCAGTTAAATATTCGAACAATGTATGGAATCTATGCTACGGTTTATAGTATTGTCTCTCTATGCTATTCTCCTCCTTTTGTCTGAGCCCATCTTAGCTTTTGTATGTCGCATGTTTCTAGGCCTTTTGTGGCCTTTAACGAGGCTGTAACAAATGAATGAGTGTAGTTAGAATGTATCATCAATGTTCCAAGAGACAACACCTGATCTCAAGGTGTGAAACCTGAGAAACATTTAAATTTAAATACTTAATCTTGACTTTGATTTTGGAATCGTGCATTGCGCCGTGGCAGTGAGCACCTCTGACCTCAACTGCCATTGGAATTATAGTACCCTGGAAATTAAGTGGGAAAAGCATATTGATATAGGAGATAGCAAAAACTACAGATGCTGGAGTCAGAGATAACACACCGTGGAGCTGGAGGAACACAGCAGGCCATGCAGCATCAGAGGAGCAGGGAAGTTGACGTTTCGGGTCGGGATCCTTCTTCAGAAGTGGCTCCTGGCTTCCTTTCTGATGTGAGTGCCAGTGCAGCTCCGCCTCCTGGGGCCTAAGGATTGTGGAATGGAAATTCAAGTGCAGAAAGGTACGGAGACAAATGATATAAAACAGAAAACATTAAATGACGCAATTCCTCATTACTGGACAGCTTCTGTCTGCTTTATTTAATTCTTTCATGTGATGTAAATGTTGCTTGCATTGTGAACAAATGATTTATGATGTTATTGAATTTTGGATAAAGAAAGCTAATTTGACTCCAACCAAACAGAGGAGGCCAAGTCACTGTACCATATGGCTACCAGCTCGAAGTGGATCGTAGAGAGAATTTTACAGATTTTTGAAATTCTAGGAGTTTGCAAGCAATCACTGGTGGTTAGAGAATTCTATCTTCAGAGAGCAACCGCAGATGAGAGGAAGAACTTCTGAGGAACTCAGCATATTTCAGGTTTCTGCTTTTTGGAACCTTTAATCGCTCAAAATTATCATAGCACTATTTTGAGCTTTTAAACTGGATAACAAAATTTGGCTAAGAATGTCCAGTATGCAGAACTCCAGGAAGTGAGACTATCCATGGAGAGGGGAGTGTGAACCATGGCTGACTCTGAGAAAACAAGGTGTAGAGCTGGATGAACACAGCAGGCCAAGCAGCATCAGAAGAGCAGGAAAGCTGACGTTTTGGGTCTGGACCCTTCTTCTGAGAATCTGTGAATATGTACTCCGCAAGAGCAACTGCCTCCTTTTTGTGTCCAGGTGTTAAAACCTGCACCTTGCATTCAGTAGTCTCGAGCTGCACCTCTATCCCCATCAGGTCACATGGGATTGTCTCTGGGATGCTTTTGTCAAAAGTCACATACCCCTCTGTAAACCATTCCAGTTTACCTTGAATTAAAGGATTCAGTTTAATGCATGACTATCTTATAAAAGGCCAGTGGTCATAACAAGTATGAAGGAGTCTCTTCAAAAAATGTACTGATTTCCTGACTTCATATTCACTGCTCTAATGCAATGTAATGCAAGGATCAGTTCAGAGTTGCCCTTACATGCTGCCTCGAAACTGAACGAGGTAGCATGCCATCAAGTAACTGTTCAGCACTTAAGATTAGTTGTTGAGCTTTAATTGATCAGAAGCATGTGGATTGACATTGCCAGCTTAGGAATCCTTGGTCTCTCACAATCCTGAAACTGGTGGTGAAATTGTTGACTTGTCCCCACAGATTTCTTATTTAGCCCTCTCTTATGCCTTCAAATGTCACCATCACTGAAAAATCATTTGGGGTCATACTGCTTCATGTGTGTTTCAGATCCAATAGTGAGTCTGTCATGCGAGTTGCCTAACAGTTGAAAATGCACTCTGCTGCCTAGGGTTACTTAAACCTGGTGAAATAAAGGGTTACTTCCTCCCTTTCAGTATACTTGTGGTAAAGTTGTCATAACAATAATCTGTACCACTGTTAGAATTTGAAGGCAAAATCTCTGTTCTTTAATTTCTATCAAACCTTATTCTGTCATAAAGCTACATTTCGCCTGTGTATAAGGTCATCACCTTTTGAATGACATTTACATTGAAGCAAATTGATCATATCCTATTCCAAATAAACTCTTTGCACCATGATCTGTCATCTAAATTCTTACTGCAAATGAACATTTTATTCAAGAATATTAATTATGAAATTAACAAAACTGCAAATATAATCTTAGCTTCATCCAATCCATGAGAAACATTTCTTTGAAGTAGGATTTGAGTGCAGGGTATTCTGCAATAATTATTCATTCTGCAATGCCACTTTCTATTTATGTTGTGGATTGAACTAAAAAAAACTTTAAAATTGTTGTTTGCTGCTCGACTGTGACATCTTGTAGACTTAATCATTATGACTGGGCTGTATTCAAAATAGTTGCTGCAGAGACAGAATAAAGTTATTTATGTCCAATGAATGCTGATTTTCCTCATTTTCTGTTCTTCAGAATCCAAGTGAATGATCTAATTGTGGAGGTTGATGGCATCAGTCTAGTTGGTGTGACCCAGAGCTTTGCAGCTTCAGTCCTTCGAAACACGAAAGGCACTGTCAGGTAATATTGTTCATGAAAGTCTCAGACAACCAGATCTTAAAAATAACAAGTAGAATTTCTACAGAGGTTCTTCCAGGCTCCTGCTGAAAGTTGGATAGTAGTCTCAGAGATGTTGGCTCACTCAATCATACATTACATTCCCTGTAGGAATAGTAGAGATAGTAGGAACTGCCGATGCTGGAGTCTGAGATAACAAGGTGTAGAGCTGGATGAACACAGCAGGCCAGGCAGCATCAGAGGAGCAGGAAAGCTGACGTTTCGGGTCTGACATGCCAGCTTTCCTGCTCCTCTGATGCTGCCTGGCCTGCTGTGTTCA